AAAGATAGAAATCATTTTTATTTATTTAAACAAAGTTAACAGGAGTCTATTGCCAAAACCCAATGGAAATAACAAAAGAAACAACAGAATAGCTTTACATAAATATAGATTTAAAAAATTGGAGTAAAATATTGAGTAAATCAATTCAGTAGAATTATATGAGAATAACAGACCAAGATTATGTAGGGTTTCTTGAAAGGATAGTTTGATATTAGGAAATCTATTCATATAATATGCCAACAGGGGCCAAATGGAAAAAAGACATGGTATCGTACAAATACATACCAAAAAAAAGGCATTGCATACACTCCAGGGCCTATTTTTGGTGTAAGAATGTTTTGAATAAGGTTAGAGTGTGTTTATGGTGATATTCTATCCAGCAACAATGCTAATTCATTCATGTCAATGCAGGTGGCCATAGTTCATTCACTCCCAAAGCTGCATCAAAATGTGCCTCACTTTATTTCCTATTTCTTTTCTTTTTTTTTTTTTTTGGTACTGGGGATTGAACTCAGGACTTCGCTCTTGCGAGTCAGGTGCGGGCGCCACTGAGCCAAATCTCCGGCCCTATTTCCTATTTCTTTTCTTTTCTTTTTTTTTTTCTTTTGGTACCAGGTGTAGGGAACAGGGAAAGGGGACGTTACTGGGACCTCTGCAGTAAGTCCTGCGAGCCACGGCAGCACAAGGCGAATTACAGGAAAGGTAGAAAAATGAGACTGAGAAGAAGCTGAGCTTTGCGTCTGATCCGTGCTGCTCTGGACAGCAAAGACGAAAGCCCCCACCTTACCGCATCATTTATTTAGTACATCGGGAGAAACAAATGTAACAAATGACTTGCAGAGGGTTCAGTATATAGGCATAAACAAAGTGTAACAATCCAAGAACAATGAGGAACTGAGTAGATGAAGATTTTGTTCCTCCCAGGATGTCTTAAGCTGGTGTAACCTTGTCCTGGAGAATCACAGCATCATCAGATCATTGAGGTCTCAGTTGTGACCAGAGGCCAAAATGGAATTATGTCTTGGAATGCCATAGCTGGGCCGTAGGCAGGAGAACTAGGCTAGCCAAATGATTTTTCCCTAAAATTATGTAGCATTGCTCCCGACAACCAGGGATTGAACTCAGGACCCTGAGCCTGCAAGGCAGGCAGTGGAATCAATGAGCCAAACCCCCGACCCATTATTTCCTATTTCTTGACAGAGACATTTCATTTGTTTCTGGATTTAATGTTTTGGCAAAAAATTGTTTTTAATGAAAATAGAAATGGAAGAAGAGTATTCATAAAATTTAAAAAAAATACAAAGTTAACATACTCATTCCTGGAGCAATCAATAACAACAAGACTTGGATTCCTCATATCACCACTGTTGGTTTGGGGAAGTTTTAATTACTATAATTAGGTAAGAAAAAGAATTCAGAAATATGACTACAGGAAAAAAATGAAAATTATTTTTATTTGCAAATGATAAGGTTAACTAGAAAACCTCCCCCAAAATAAGGAAAAAATATTTTAAAAATAAGTATAAAAATGAGATACTTTGTTATGTATTGACAAGTAATTATGAGCTACAATGGGAAAATCTCATTCAGGACAGAACAAAAACACCAAATAACTTAGAAAAATTAAGAAGAAATGAAAAAAATATTAAATTTATAAGGTAATATGAAAAAAGGCCCTAAATAAATAAATAGACTTGCCATGTTAGTACTGGGAAATATAAAAATATACATTTTCCCAATTTACTTTGTATCTTCTTGAAATTAATTCTAGTTAAAATTCCAATTTGGTTCTTCCCATACCAAACAACATGATCCAAAATCCCATTTAAGAATATTTTGGAGGAATGACAGTAAAAATAATATGACAGTGAAAAAAGCAAATTGAAATATTTAAAAAAATAATGACAACAGGAAGATACTGTAATAAAATGCACAAAGAGATTAATAAGAGAACTGCCAAAACAGAAGATTCTAGTGAATGGAAGAGAATCATATTTAATACAGATATCATAGGAAAACAAAACTAAATAACTGGATATCTAAAAGAAATATGATTATATTAGATTCTTACTCTGTAGCTTACCATGAAATAATTTCCAGATAGTTTAAATAGCTAACATGAGAAATAAAATAATCTTAAAAATAGAAATACATAAGTAAATGCATAACGTAACTTAGTACCAAAGTCATAAACCAAAGGAAAGAATTTATGGGTTTACCTATATGAAAATTAAAAATGTACATCAAAATCATTATGAAATTATTTCAAAATATGAAAACAAGATACACTGATAATTTATGTAACAAATGTTATAAAACCGACCTACATTATGTGCCAGTAATAAATATTTGTCAAATAAAATGGATGTATGAATACACAAATCAGTAAATGAAAATTGAAAGCACTCCTATGAAAAAACAAAAACACTAAAGCCCCAGAGGAAACTTAGACCAAGAACATGAATAGGAAATTCACCAAGAAAGATACAAATGTTCAACCTATGTATAAAAATTCAGTTTCATTAGTATAAAGCTCATCTAATTAAAATGATTAAAAGTAATCATAATAATTTAATTCTACAGACTCACACATCCTTAATATCCCAAATAATTATGTTAGTGGCAAACTCCTAGACACTTATTTGGAGATTTGCATTAAAAGTCTTATTTTCCTTTTGGAATTTTATAAGGAAAAAATAGGAAGACTACAAAATGATTATTTTTGAGGACATTTACTGCAGCATATTTAAAAATGAAGAGAGGGAAAGGAAGGCAAGTGTTAAATTTCTAATGTTTTTGAAGAGAATTTAATAATGTGAGAAAATACCCACCATCTAAATGTAGGTAGGACAGCAAAGTTTAATGGTAGGTATAAGTGATAATAATAATAATCTCTGACTTTTGTGACATGCTTCACTTGGTCTTAGACAAAAGGCTGAGGCATGATTTTTGTGGTGTACTCTTTGTCAAAAATCACACTTAGTATTTTATGTGCAATGTCTCTCTGTCATGCAAGGAGTGTGAGTTCCAGTCATATACAAATATTGCAGATGAGAAAGCTGAAATCCAGAGATCTTAGGTTTAAAAGTCTTTCTTTTTCAGAATCCATTTCACCTCTATATTTCAAATTTATTTATGCATCTATATTATGTAGAAAAAAGTTGCAAAACCTTTAAAGTATTTTTGATCATTGAAATAATTGAAAATTTTTATTTTTCCTTCTTTATACTTTTATTGAAATCCCCAAATTAACAAAATGCAAGCCCTAAGCCACATTTTTGCTCTCCTCAGCACATACCATGTACCCAGTCTTTCATACCTGCTTTATTTATTCTGTTCTTCAGAGAGAATTCATGCCCACAAAGGTGGTCCTGATATAAGATTGTAAATCACTACGGATCTTTTACTCATAGACATAAACCCTACACTGACCATTCCACATACCATGGTGTTTAAATGAGTGGAGCCATAGTGTTGCATTCCAATCCTCTTTTGAATTTACCATGCATTTCATCTTGGTAAGTCAATTAATCTGAGAAAATTGAAGAGAAAGATAATAGCTACCATGTTGATTGGCTGTGAAAATTGAGTAAGTTAATATTTATAAAGAAAGTGACTGGTCCTATTAAGTACTACATAGTATTAACTAATATTTTATTAGCAGACATTAAATTTTTAAAGTACATTATATATTCTAGAAAGGTTTTGAACAAACGGAATTCTTTCAGGTGAGTATCTGGCTTTGCTGTAATAGAAATGACTGGGGCAGAATGTAGAATAGATTCAATTCTATTCAATTGAATTTTCATAATGGAATCATTTGCCAGTCACTCTGATGTGAAATAAATTGTGAATTCCAACTGATAAAGAAGTTAATAAAGATGAGGGCTCAATGAAAGAGATTTGGGGTTCTATTAAACTTTGGGAAGCTAAATCCCTGGCTTTAGCGATTTTCTATGGGAGGGGAAATTGAAAAACAAGGCTATGAATTAATTATACTCCCCAGGTGTGAGCAACACCTTTTCAGACACATCAAAGGGGATCCTGCAAATGGACTATTTGATTGGCTTCACAGGGCAGCAAAAAATACTTGACTTTTGCCAGCATGGTAATTTAGGAATGATAAGTGGAACCTACCAACAATGCCATTTTCTTGATTGAACCATAATTGCTTTTATGTTATTGATATCAAACTGTGCATAATTAGAGACTATTTTAACTCATAACAAATAGGGCACTTTGTTTTTACATGGCTAAATAATATCCTACAGAAAAAACACTGTTATGTCATCATAGAATAGTGGCTCAATGTGTCCCTCAAAGGAGACCTGGCTTTTCTGATGGTTGAGGTATGGTTCACAGATGGTGTTGGTAGACTTGGTTCATTTGTGCCCCAGTATAAAGCTGGGTTGCTGTGTGGCTGTTGATTGTGTCACAAACTTATCTAAATGATGAGCTTAATACATGTTGTAGAGAGATTAATGACAATACTCCATTCTAGGGCACATAATATTGAATCTTCATGGTACAATTAACAATATAAAAGAAACCCTTGTAATCTTTAAAATGCTAATGAATACTTAAAATTCAAGGCAACAGAGCACATTAACAATAGAAGAAAGGCTATTTTGAGTGTCTATGTTGCACTTGTGATTCAACATGTGAAGATTTTTACATAATGGCCCATTCTGGAGCTGTGACACATAGAAGGAACACAGAGCTTGTTCTTCTGAAGTGTGACTCTCTGTGACAAAACAAACTTTAGAGGTTTCCAAGAAAATACTTCCAGCACAGCCTCCCTCTCAAGCCTAATAGGCTGGGGATGCCTGATGTTTTGCACTGATGAGATATTTGCATCTGCTTACTCATTTGCAAAATATTTCCCATCAGCTTTTATAGATTTTACTATATTCCAGACACTATTTGAATGCTGTATATTCATTGATTCAGTCCCCCCAAAAACCCTATAAAGTAGGTAAATTATGGTCTTCATTTTTCAGGTGAAGAAACTGAGGGAGCAGATGATTTGTTGAGGTCAAACCCTATGAAGTAACATAGAAGAATTTAAACTCAGGAAATGTGAGTTCAAAATGGGACTTACTGTATCAAAGGATTGTTGAGAGGATAATATATCATATGGGAAGTACTTAGACTCAATAGGGGTCTTATCAACTAGATTTTCTTTTATGCCACCCATATTTCTGCTTAATGACTTTTCAGTACATTGTGTGCAGAACACCTTCCAATATTCATTGACTTCCTTTCCATTTTCTTGCCCTGTGTCACATCACTGACTGTGGGGACTTTGAAGTAAAGCACAGACCCCCGGGAGCCATTTCTCTCCAGATATTGTGCCTAGATAGTTTTCTCCAGACAGCAAACCTTGCCTGCCCTGTTAGATTGGTAGCCAAAATCCTACTTTCCAACTGTCCTTGTTATCACTTTAAACCTTTTCATAAATAAGGTCGGTGAAAATAAAATACATCAGTTCAATTAATCTTCCAACATGAATTTGTAGCAGCAATTATTACTCGCATTTCATAGTCAATAGAAGGCGCACAAGAAAAATTATGGACCAGTGTTTATATAGGGAGCCAGAATTCAAACCCAGGAATGTCACTCTTAATGCCGAGTATGGTTTGAAAATGAGTAGTGGCCCCAGAGGTCTAGATGTAAGGTTTGGTCCCTATGTTGGCAGTTATGGGAGGTCCTCAGATCATTTGTATGTGTTCTCAGAAGGGATTGTGGGACTCAATCTAGTCCCCCTCTGCCTCTGATTCCTGCCTCTAATGAGAACTTTTGTTCTGACATGGCTCCTGCCATGATGTGCTATACTTGTTGAAAACCCACACCATTGGGCTGCCTGAACTTGGACTGATCCTCTAGAAACAAGGCAGTTTAAACCTCTTTTTACACTAAAAGTAGTCCATGTCAAATATTTTGTTGTGAGTCTGACTAATACAATGCTCCTATTACCTTCTCTCCCTGCATTAGACTGCTTTTCATGTGGGGCCTGAAGAAAGGGGTCGAGATGCTGGAAGGCCTCCTGTGCACTCTCCAGCCAATCAGGGAGGACACAGAATCCTGAGGGAGGAGGTGGGCAGCAGACATCACAAGAGGAGAGGCAAGCACTGCAGGCCATGGGGCACAGGAGCAGGAGGTAGACTTGGGCCTGAGAAAGGACTTAGGAACTTTTCTAGCATGGAGCAATGTCTGGATATTTCCTGACAACTACCTCATATAAAGCAAAAAGTTTTCCCAAAAAGAGATAGGGGAGTGCACAGTGATTGGTAATTTAGAGAGATATTAGGGTATGGATGCTCAATAGGAAGAGAACTACTTGGAAAGTAGTTGGGAACTTGGGAGAAGATTAGTTATACAAGGACTTGGAGATGGTCTTAGCATTTGGTAGGTGGAGGCAGAGATCTTAGATGCCTTGCAATACATGATAAGGGACAATCAAAATTGTCCCTTGTTTTTTGACTTCCACATTTCTTTTTTATTAATTTTATTGGTACATTTTAGGTATACAAGATAATGACACTCATCATTGGAAATTTTCACCTTTACATAATCCATCTTGGTTCTTATTTTTTTCCCCTTCTCTAGGCCTCCCTTCAACTCCTCCATCCCTCCCCATTTATAAAGACTTTGGTTCCTTTTTTTCATTTTCTCATAATAATTCCATTCCCTTCTTTCCTTTCCCTTACCCCTCCCACTGCCCCTTCCCATTTGCCACTTTTCTTCCTATTTCACATTATCTATTATACCTTTTAGTCCTTATTTACACTTTCAGTTTCTCACACTAGAGAAACTATTCGGTATTTACACATATGTGTCCTATTTATTTCACTTAAGAGTATGGCCTCAATGTGCATCCAT